TGGTTTAGCTCAAATGTCCTCTCCTTCTGCCTTTTCATGCTTAATTTCTTCTGTAGAGAACTGTCACAATTCAGCTAAAATGGTTCAATCCCATGTCCCTGCCTCCTTGCCTCTCCAAGTCTACTTTCTGCAATATGAAAAATGGAGATTCACTGTAACAAAAGCATGGCTGCATGCTTCTTACATCATCTGAATGAAATACTTCATGGGGAAGGTTGTATTTCAACACTGTGCTTGACACTTTAAGCATGTTCAGCTTTCAATTGCTTCTGTTTCTCACAGGAACCTTCACGATTCCCTTTCAGTTCTGCAACCCAGAACTTAAATCATGTATACAGTAAACACAGCCTAACAGCTTGGTTCCTTCACATCTTTGTATCCCATGTCCTTTCTTTGAATGATCCTCACTACAGTTAGTGAGATTACTTACTAATTAAGGAGAACTCAGTGCATGCCAGTAGGAAAAAAAAAGTATAATTTAGTGGGTCTGATTTTTAGATTTTTGGGGGATTTCCTGCAGGACCTGAATCAACCACAATAACCATCACAGATGTCATTGACTGTCCACATCTTGCAGTACACCACAAGTATCTTTTTGAAGACAGTCACGTTCACTCAACAACAGGTAATTGGGTTACCTTTGTTTAGAATAACCCAGACTGCTCTTTGAACACAGAAGACTACACACTGTACTATTTTCCAGTACCAACAGAATCTGCTGCAGGGTGTTCCTTTGGCTGTTGACCTGTTTTGAGAACAGGAAGCCATATTGAAGCTGCTCTGCATTTACAATTCCTTGTCATTTCCTCCCCATCCTATTCAATTTATTCAACATTTAGCCTATGCTTAAATGTTTCTATTTTTCAGCAAAAGCCTCAAAAGATAATGACCAGTGCAAATGTGAAAACCTTGTAACATTCCAAAACTATGCAACCAGTCAAGTAAGAAAACTCACCCAGCGATATATCCTTTCTGAGTAACTGTTTCTTACAGGTAAGATAAGAAAGGCAGGTTAAACAAACTAATTTTTGCAACTGCCTCCACAGCTAAAATCAGTTTATTGTAATGAAAATCTAAACCATATAATAGTTAGTTTCCAAGAAGCAAGGCCTTTAACTTTTAATCTGCTTTTCCTTCATAGAAGGGACCAAAATATTAGTAAGGAACTTGAACTTTAATAACCACTTACAGTAAACACCTTCAGGAACAGCAAAGAAACAACCGGTCAAATTCAAGACTAACATGCTTTGCATCTTCAGATGCTACTGAAATATTATTACTGGCTACAGGTGTCAGAGTACAGGAGATGTTTCCCTGCTGAACTGCTTGGTGAGGCACCATATGCAGTGAGTCATTTAAAATCATACTCTAGATGCAGAGGAAATCAGAGGACTTAGGTTTGGTTAATCTTGCATTAAAAGAAATGCAGATAAGTAGCTTCTGCCACCCAGTTAGTCTGTTTATTTCAAGGCAGCTGCTGCCTGTAGCATCCACATCTCAGGAAACAGCAGCAAACTGGCAATACAACCCGTCATGTACTATTTATGCAGCAAATTCTTATTTTCTTCATCAAAGTTGCTTCTGATCAAACAAACAGTAAGAAGACATCACAACTTAGACTTGAGTTGCGTAACTGTGTGCAAGAGCAGTAAGCATTTATTCTCTGCACAGAAGAGTGCAGTGATACCAGCAGCTCATCACTGTACACTTCCTAGACAGGAACAGCTTCAGACTGTGAAGTCTGTCCAGAGGAAGGCAGGCAGAGCCCTCGGTGGCTGGTAACCTGATGCAGAACACTGCCTACCCCTTCAGACCTTCCCAGCAACAGCCAACCTCTCTCTCACCTACCCAAGTGAATCCTTTGGCAGAGACTTTAAGGAATTATGTTCTAATCACTTTATTAAATTACTCCATGCAAAGCAGATTTTCATAGAGGAGAAAGCCATCATGTAATGTTATTGCTGTGTGTTTCAAATGTTCATCTACATACTGTTCTGACAGGACTTCTCCAGACAACTTTGGAGAAAAATTTCTAAGTCATTTCCCACATCCTTAAGTGTTATATGGCATGCAGTGTTCCGACCTACATGCTGACAAGAAAGGACACCAACTCTTGCCCTTCCACCTCTTTACTGCAATCCCCTGCAGCTGGGCTATGAGGAACTCGGAGCTTACTCAGAATCAGAATTTAGTTGCTAAGCCTAGAAACATGTGTTTTTGCTTTACCGTTTGAGCAGGCAACCCTCAGATTTTTATTCAAATGGCTCAAGGTGATAGAAAACCTGCCAACACTGAGCCAGACTAGGAATTTTTATAGGAACAATGCTAAGCACTTCCTTAGAGCACTGTGCAGCCACTGCATAGAAGAGTATGAACCATCCAGTTTCCTCTTTATTAGAAACCTCCTTTCTCTGCCTTCTCTCAAGAGCAGCTCAGGTATGAGGTGATACACTAGTTCTTGATAACTGCAGATTGCTGTCTAGTCTTCATGCAGAGATCTGGAGGGTGGGGGAGGGAGAACTGGCTACAAAAGTAGCTCCAGTTACACTACAAATTTAGAGGCACCAGTCCAAACTGTTTTGTGTCCAGCTGCACTAACTTCTATCAGTAGTTGAGTGCAGTTTCACTGCTTCAACTTTGCCTCTCTGAACACTTGAGAAATATGGCTGTTGAAGAAAATGGAGTTCACATGGTGCTCATATGCAGAGTAACCTTGCTGCAGCAGATGAGAAATTACCAAACAATGTCCAGGCAGAGCCACAGAAGCAGGATATCCACTCTTGCTCTGTACTAGCAAGAGATTCTCCTGATGTCGATGGGGGGGGACATGGTACACATGGCTGTTCTGTCCAGAGTCAAGAGGCCAAATTCAATTTGCCTGTCTGCACTAAAAAATTCCTAACAGCAATGTGTCAAAGATCCCAATTTATACACCCAGTTCTCCATCTTCCCTTGTGCAAGACCTTAAAATGTTAAAATCAAGACCCTAGTCAAACAAGCAAGGAGTGGGGTGTAGCAAATTCATCCTTCTGAGGTAGATCTCAGTGCCTCCAGATCTCACTTAATGCTACGTCTCCTCTTCCTCTCAGCTTCCCCTGGCTGCCTTTCCATGGCACACAGAGAGAAGTGCTTAAGTAGTACTGGTCCAACCTCTTCCTGCAGGAGACAGCATTCCTGCCAACTGGACGTGCTTATCAGGAAACGGATGCTGTATACTACTTTGTATTTCTATAGCATCTTATTGGAAATGGAACCAGCCCTATGGAGTTTGTTGTGCTCTACTCCACATTTGTCAGGAAACCACTGTCACAACTGTGGACAGGAAGAGATCATGAGGAGCAGACAGTCTTACTGGGGTCTCAGAGCCCTATAGTTTTATAATCCACTGTTAGATACCCAGTTTTCCATATGGTTAAGTGAAACATTTTCTAAACAGCATTAACTAGATAAATATTTACCCTTCCTTTAAAATAGAGAAAATAAATCAATTTGTAGAAACAGCCTTTTTAATAAGCTGCAGTCTGAACTCCATGTAAAGGTATGCCTTTTAAGGAATGAGGGTTTCACACAGCTTTCTCAACTCAGCTGATCAAATCTGAAGAAAATACAGGGGAACATTGAATGAGAAACTACTGGAAGAGGAACAAGAGAATGTTTATGGACCAGAGCAATCAGGTAGCTGACTTTTTCTATTAATGCCTCCTATCAGAAACTCTCTTTCCTTAACTTTTATCCACTGGAAGAAATGACGAAGAGAATGGAAGACTTGGAAAACAGGCTAAAATACTGATCAGAATTTTAAGTGTACACTACACTGTATATTTATACATTCAAACTTGTCAGAGCTATTTTCTTAAACTGGTTCAAAGTAAAATAACATCTTTGTGCCTGAAGTGGAAAAGACTCTTTTGGATCCTTGCATTTATATGCCATGTGTTATTTTGCATTGATTGCAGATAAGAAATGTTGAAAATTTTATATAAACAGTTTAGTAACTAGCAAAAGTTCTAATTAAGCAGAACAACTGAAATAAGCTATGCAAAATAATAAAATGGTGTTATTTTTTGAAATGAAACCTCCATGTTTTGAAGTATTTTTAGGGTATGAATTTACTTGGCTTGCTTTTATGTATTTCCCTCCTCCACTCCTAGTATTTTAAGCACACAGTCTATGTATGTGTATATATATATATATATATATATATATTTCTATGTATACAGTCATATATAGAACAAGTGGGACCATTTTATAACAGAAGTAGTTGCAGCAGGACTTAAGTGATCTCAGACAAGCCAATGAGTGTGCAGAGATACATTACATCAAACTTTGAAAAGTACCCTGTGCTTTAGTAGTTTCAAATTCTGCAAGGTTACAGGTACATTCTGATTTTCATTAGGTGTTTGCTTTTACCATGTCAGAAAATCACTGGCACCTCAATTAACAATCCCTAATAATAAGGAACATCCTGTAGCCATGGTGTCACACAAAACAGGCCCAAATCTCTAAGATACTGATGTTCTCAGCAATTGTGACTTGAGAACACCAGCTCATCTGCCTCTAGTATCTTGAAGGCTACTGATTTAAAAACAGCTTTGTGAAGTTCACTGGTATTTTACTGAAAGCCTATGTTACACATCTAGAAGCTATATCCTGTTTGCCTTTTTACAGATATGTACTCTTGGAAGGAAAGCAAAAAGGGAGTAACACACATTATTACTTGATTCACTTGGTAAAAACAGTGTGAATTATTTTAATGCAAGTAAACCTTTAGGGTTCCCCACCAACATCCCAAAATTTGCTACTGTCTCTCATACCTTGTGCTTGCATTAGCACTCCAAAAGCAAACACTAAGGAAGCCCTAGCCCACTGGAATTTGTCACCACACTTGGCATGATCAACCCTTCCTTCACTTACCTCCCAAGATCCACAATGCCACAGAAAGAAAGGCAAATTTTGCCATGTGAAGGTTATTTCTAACAGAACAGGAAACACAGCAGGGGTAATGAATCTTCATTTATATAGTCTGTTCCCTAAAACCAACAAAGTTATAATACAAATTTTTCTTTAAAGAAAACTGTAACCAGTTTTATTGTAGAAATAACACCTTTATAGCATTTACTTCTCACTGGTTTGTTCTGGCATGCTTCTAATGATGTCAGAGTCACCTGTAAAACAAAAATGGATTGTTACAAGAGGACCCACAGCAGAATGTTTTTAGGAATAAAAGTAAGAAAAAAATCCCAATCCATAAAATCACCAGAGATTCTAAAAAAAGAAAACAACCTGAAAGCAGCAGTCTGCTTACCAAAAAAAGCAAATAGTTTTGATAAAATCGATAAAAATACTTGTAACTGTGTCTTTCTAATCCAAATACAGTATTTTCCAGTAATTATGCACCTGTCACCAGCATTTACAAAGCCAGGACTAAAACAACAAAGTAGTCCTGGAGGACACAATGCATAGTTTTACTATAGCGAATGTCTAGCCTCCCCTGATCACAGAAATATCAGGACAGCGAGAATATTCGCATTGTTAGCTACAGAGCATTAGGATTTACTTGCAGCTCCCACCCCACCCAAGACCAAACCTGAAAGTGGTATTTTGAAAATTAAGTTTACAGCTACTATTTGAATACAAGCAAGCTAAATAAAGTTTTCTGAAGAAGTAGGAAATTCAGATCATTGTGACTTGGGGAACAGTTGGTTAAAGTTATTACAGAAATCATTAAACCTATGTGCATGAATTCTGGTCAACAAACAGAACAAGGGATTGATTCTGCTCTTAAAACATTCTGGAAAGAGGATGGAAAGTCACCTACTTAGCATTCTATGCAAAGAATTTGAGCAACTCTCTGGGACAAAGACTGTTACCAAACCATAGTAATTACATAAAAACTCACAGTTTTAAAATAGTGTTTATTATAATAAACATTCTCATTTCCTTGATGAATATCCATCTGCCTACTGGTTATTTCTCTATATACTATTCTGGAAAGCAGGACAAGTCACAATCCTTTGTCTCATATTAAGAACAGTCAAACAGGGCTGTTGTAAACATTATGTTGTGCAAGCTCATGTCCTAGCCAATGTTTTCAGAAACAGATCCTGTACAATTGTGCTCCAGACACTGAAACCTCCCTACAGACTGACAAGTAGACAAAATGCTCACAGGGCTCAGCAGTAAAAGAGCTATGTGCAAGAGAAGCAGCAGTCCTACCAAGTTCACAAAAGAAAAAAAGTCCTATTAGGACTCACAAAAGAACAGGATCTTGGTCAGAGGAAATTTCAAGTGTTAAACCAGATGGAAAAAGGTAGTGAAGTGTGTCATCACTTCTGTTCATTCCTTGCTCAGTGCTGCTACTCACAGGAGAAAGGAGGATCCACAGACACCTCCTCATTTGATCCCTACACTGCAGGAAGGAATTACCTGGGTCAATGATGGCCAGTGTGCACACTCTGTAGTACTTTCCACATGCTGTGCCCAACTCAATGTTGTTCCCACTATAATGATGGACACCGGTCTTGGCAAGCATAGCGTAGTACTCAATCTCTGATTTTCTGAAATCAAAAAACTGGGTGTTAACAAGACCCACAAACAATTCTGACCAACTGCAATACAGGAAGAGCAGCTTTAACTCCTACCACACTTAAACCTTAATACACTTTTCCTTCCCATCCAGAAAAACACAGCCAGTTTTTGTGAGGCAAAATTACTTCAGGGTTGCGGCTCAGGAACCTTTATTTATTGAAATTGATTTGTACAGGCTTCTCCTTCAGGAGACTGGTACTCCTTCAGGTACAGCCTTCAGGCTGCTCCTACACAGGCTCATTTCTACACGGTAGAAGGACTCGGCACTTGCAGATCTCTGAAAGGCCACAGGAGCTGTGCCGAAGTGCACAAACTAAGAGTTAATGTTGACAGCCCTTGGTGGCCAGATGCTGAACAGAGAGACACAGTTGTTGCAGCTGAGAAATGAACCATGTATTTTAATTTAAAATAAAAAGTCCATCTATACTGCCCTCTGACTCCCACTAGGAAGGTCTAGCAGTCAATGCTGTTCTCCAAGCATTTTGGGATCCCCATTAATATTGGGGATTGCTGCCCACTGTAAGAGTCCTGCTATTCCTCAAGTATCTAATTTCTGGATTTCACGATTACATTTTCTTGAGACTGTCAATATCCCTTGACAACAAAAAGGGCCCAGATATTCAGTGAGGAAAATGTCACACTATTAGTACCGATTACACTCTCAAAAAAGCAGTTTTGCTGTCCAGGACCCCAACTTTATAACTAACTTCGACAAACTCAAATATTTTAAATCAGTTATCAGTTTTCCTAGCTGTAAAATTATTTTCCAATACATTACTTTGGAAAAACATGGGAATTCAGCTCCATTACACTCTTAGTGAAAGTTACCAAGTGTGAAAAACTTCCAGTGCTTTTTCTAGTGCAAACTCCTTGAATTAGACCTGGAAGCACTTTAACACTTCTAGACTTGAAATCATTGCACAGCAAACTACCTATCGCTTTTATTTCAGAGCACTCTAGAACATGCCAGCAAAGCCCTCTGCATTAAGTCTCTGGAGCAATTAGTGTGAAACACACACTGCATTTGGACAAAGAACCCATCTCAGAACTGTTCTCTCACACATCTGCTTACCTCAAAGCAGGACAGTTGTTGGCGAGGATGACCAACTTGGCTTTGCCCTGACGAATCATTTTCAGGGTCTGTTTGTACCCAAGCACATATTTGCCACTTTTCATAACCAGCTGAAGCCTGGAGTTAATGGACTCCAGGGACTTTTTCTGAAGAAGATGTAGAAAAGCATCAATCATTGTGTTACTTCACACTTTTCAAACAATGGAGAACCTAATAGAGACATTTCAAATACATGCATTTTTTATAATCTCCCTATAATCTGAAATACGGAATAAGAAAGGCCAGTCAAGTTACCTGAGTGTAAGAAAGTTTATGGATAGGGGCATTGCTGATACTGTGTTTGCACGAGTTCAGAAAGTTCTCTCTTATCCCCGTATCTCTCAATAGGAAATCTGTCAAACCACTGTTGCTGCTGTCTACATAAATCAGCGACATCTCCGTGTATCTGACAAGCTCTTATCAAGCTCAGCTAGCCAAGGCTAAGTAAATACCACTTCTGCCTTGCAAATCTAAGCCAGGTTTAGAGTCTGTCTCTCCTCAAGGCACACACTGACAACGTTACATGGGCAGCAGAAAGAAGTAATTCTGTGCAATATCGAACTCATATTACAACAGGAGAGCGTGATGCTCATGACAACAGGTTAGGTGCATTTGACAGACGAAATCACCACCTCTGAACAAGAAACCCAGAGCCGTCAGAGCCACTCTAAGAGAAAGGCCCGAACAGGTCAGGAAAGGATAAACCTGAACACCACCCGCACTAGGACCTCGGCACCACTTCTCCCTCCCTGCAGCCATCTCAGGAGCTCTGCAAGCACCCCAAAACATCGCATGGGGGGAACCCGAGGATACCGAGCCCAGCGGGAGGAGGCCGAGGGGCGCGGCCAGTGGCAGGAGGGCACGATCCGAGCTCTGAGGGCCGCGCCGGGCTGCGCCCAGTGGACCCCCCGGCACTCCCGACCGCCAACCCAGGCCATGCCGGGGTCCTCACGGCGCTGCCCGGCCCCGCTCCCACTCACCGTCTTCTTCGCGGCCACCATGTTGATGCCTCGCGCGGGGTCGGGTGGTAACTGGAACACAGGGGGATGTAGGGGAGTGGTCAGAACCCGGCAGCAGAACCCGGCAGCAGCTCACGGAGCGGCCCCCGCGCCCCCGGCCCGGCCCCGATCACCGCAGACGAACCGCCAAGATGGCCGGCCCGCCAGAAAAGAGCGAGCTAACACGAGGCACCGCCTGAAGCCGGCAGCAGTTCTCGCGAGAGTCAATGCACCCGGCCCACGGCGGCGGGACGGGGCGGGGCCGTGCCCTGCGTGGGCGGGGCCACATTGAGTGGGGACGGATCGCTGCTGAAGTGGGCGGGGTCTGGCGGAATGACGGACGGGGCTTGGCGGGACGTGGGCGGGGCCTGGGCCAGGGGCGGGCGCGGCTGAGGGGCGGGCGCGGCTGAGGGGCCTCCTCCCTCGTTCCGCAGAGGAGCTTTGAAGGCGTATTGAACATTACAGTCTCGCGGAAGGCTTCAGGAGCTGATGCGGGAGGAGACGTAGCGTCCTGAGCCTCCCATCATGGAATCACAGAATGCCCTAGATTGTTACGGACCTTAAAGCTCATCTAGTTCCAGCCCTGCTGCCGTGCCATCTTCTGCTAGAGCAGGTTGCTCAGAGCCCCATCCCACCTGGCCTTGAATACCTCGCAGGGATTGGGGGGCATCCATAGCGCCTGTACCAGTGTCTTCACCACCCTCACAGTAAAGAGCTTCTTCCCAATATCTAATGTAAACCTACTCTCTTTCTGTTTGAAGCCATTCCCCTTTCTCCTGTCACTACCACTACATGCTCTTGTAAAGAAAAGTCCCTCTCCATCTTCCGTGTAGGTTCCCTTCAGGCCACGATCAGGTCATCCCAAAGCCTTTTCCAGATTGAACAATCCCAATTCTCTCAGCCTTTCCTCATAGGAGAGGTGCTCCACCCCCTAATCATCTTGGTGGCTTCCTCTGGACTCGGTCCAACAAGTCTATGTCCTTCCTGTGCTGGAGAATCCAGAGCTGAACACAGTACTTCAGGCTGTGTCACCAGAACAGTGTCCCTGGGGACTATCACTTCTGACGCAGGGCTGATGGGGAAAATTACGGGATGGAGAAAATAAATCACTTGAGCACCGCAAGGCAGCAGCACAGGGGACACATGCGGTGGTGTGCCCCTGTGTCCCTGCTGTCCGCACTGTGCACACTGCCTCGCTAAAGCAGCAGCACCTGCCTTCTGTCCTGCACGACAGCCCCTCGCATGCCCCCAATTCTGCATGAATGGCCTGTCCCGATGGGATACAACCCCGAGCCCGAGCAGACACACAGGTTTCTTGCGAGAAACCAGCCACTGAGCTTGGGAATAGAGTTGGGCCCAATGCTGCCCGTGTTAGCAGGTTCAGCTTTGGGTGCCCTCAGTGCAGCTCCCAAGTTCGCTGGGGCGATGGTTCTGCACTCCCAGTAGCTGTGCATTGTCCTTAGCCCATCCCCAAGCTGCTGGGTCCATAGCTGTGCCAGAGCAACAGTGCAAGGAAACTTCCTCCTGCCCCCCATGCAGGAGGGAGTCTGGAAACTACCAGCTTGAAAACTATCTCGCTGAGCACACATGCACTGCATTGTTTGGGACTGGGGCCACGACATGAGGCTGCCATTTTCAGGCTGAGGACATTTGTTCTCAGTCCCACAGTGCTGTCCATCCTAGAACAAGCACCCCAGGCAGGCGCAGGGAGGAGCAGAGTGCAGCAGCAGCTCAGCTGCTGTTTGAGTTGTGGAGGTTGCCTGTGACATCCCCTAGAGGATGCTCAGGGGTCCAGCCACAGGACAACAAGTTTGCTGCTGGTATGACATTATGCTCTTAAGAGGCTGCACCAGAAAGGCATCACAGGGTGTACCTTTCTTATGAAATTACAAACACAGGAGCTTTGCTAGACTTGCGCAGGTTAGCACAAGGATGGGAAAGTGTTGTGTTTGTTTGGTTTAGGAAGTGTGATGCCTTTATCAATATGAAATATGGAGCAACAAACTAAAAAGCCAAGACAAAACATGTTGTATTCACTTATTCTAGTATACTTATATTAATAGATATTATTTCAAATAAGGGAAATAATTTATAGCAATATATTGCTATGTCCTTCTCCTGGTATGGCTACCTCTATAGTAACTTTTTCTGATGTATGACCACAGACCTAACCAAAATATTTCCAACAGGATAACCTTCTCAGTGACAGGGAGCCTTTTGTCAAAATGCAAACCATCATCCCAATCATTTTTTTCTGGGTAACAACCTTGGGTTTCAACAGATCAGTTTAAGCATCTAAATTAACATCTAAACTTACATGGAGACAAAGGTATGTTGGAAAAAAAATGTTACCAAACTTAAGTGGAGCTGAAATATCACAAGTGAAATTCTGACATTGGTCCATCTCTAAAGGTAAAGTTCTCCAGGAATAATGTCTCTCTTAAGCACATAAATGATGCATGTAGTATATAAATAATAATATAAAAATGTTACATTTTGATGTGTCTCTATAGTCCAATTTCTTTTATTGAAAAAAAAATAAATTTCTATCCCTTTACAGAGCATGGTTAAATCAATTTTGAAGTATACTTCAAACTTTTCTTTGGCAACTGAAAAGCAAACTCCATTCTATGTCTCTTCCTGTTCCTCTTTTTCCCCTTGTCCCAGCCCTCAGGTGCATTGCTGTTCTTCCCCATCAAACTGTGACTTTGCTTTTAGCTCTTTATACTTTCACTCGGTTGGTTGTGGTCTGGTGAAACATTCATCTTTCGTTCTTGTTGAAATTACTGGCAAGGGAGTATAAAGCTCAGTGGGCCTCGTCAAGTCCTGGGTGCCATTCCTTTTGCCTGTTCCGGGTTTTATGTCACCTTGCGAAGTGCGGGAGGCATGCATGGCTCCGGGAGAGGGAGCTGTTTCCAAGGGTACCCTTGAAGCCTCCGCTCAGGAGAGAACAACTTTCCTTAGCTGTTTATAAAACTAGTTCTTTCCAGTAATGTGCTTTTTAAAAATCTCTGCATTTCCGAAATAACTTTCTGACAGACACTTTTAGCATTAAACCCCAAATTATGTCCCTAAATCTAGGTGGAATAAGGATTGGGTTGGGGGTGGTGGGAATACATGCAGAAATTGGCACTAATGTCTCTTCCCCCCCAGATCTCCCTTCTGTGAAAGCCTCTCCTGTGGTCCATAAAATGTCCTTTATAAAGACAAATGGCCAGACCAAATCAGATGAAAATTACACTAGAAGAAAGAAAAGGCTTTGACCCCACTAAAATTCCTTAAACAATATTATACAGCCACTGTTTATGTTAGAAACAGAAGCTGGGAGTGGATGGGCCTTGACAGCAGCTGTTTGAGAATTAAGGGATGGGGGAAGGCACATCAGGGAGAGTTTGGCTCCCAGGCACCCTCAGCACCCTCAGGGATCTTGAGCTCTCCTCCACAATGAGGCCATGATACAGCAGAAATAGAAGAAAGGCAGGGAAGCAGCAGACAACGTCTGTCTCCCACAAACAAGTCTCAAGATGGAGCAACCCAGGGAGCAGCTGGCAACCTCAGGAAAAGCAGTGTTACCTCTGCCAGCACTAACAGCAGGCACTGTGGTCTCATCCAGCCCCCCTGCCTGCCCCAGCATGCTCAGCCAGGGAGGTCAGCTCCTTCTCGGGCTGGGTCAGGTGTTACTCTGGCTCTGGGGCTCTGCGGGCTGGTGCTCAGTTTGGCAGTGAAGATGAGCATGCAGGGAATGCAGAGTACTTGGGAAAAGCAGGTCCACTCCTCACCCTGCCCTAACTCTGTGCTTGCCTGGTGAGAGGGCAGGACCAGGGTTGCCAACAGAGAGGGAGAACTTAATCCAGAGAGCAGTGGTCTTGAAATTCTTTCACCACTTTTCCCCACTAAAATACTGACAAGGTTGTGTAAGAAAGCACCAGTTAGAGGTATGAAGAGGTAGCAGAGTCACAGCACTGTGAGAAAAGTCACTGGTGGAACACTGACCTATCCCAAAAATTAGAAAGCAACTTCATCTTTTTGGGTGAATGAAATCAACTCAGTGTATTTAAAATTGAAGTCAGGGTGATGCCTTGTTGGGATTAATTAAAAACAGAGGCCAGACAAAATTAAGGGAATAAAAAGTGGTTGTATTTATTGAAGGACCTTCAGGTACACTTTGGGCAGACAAAGCCCACCCAGGGGCTACACCCAAAAAAATGGACAACGGGTCATGAGTTTTCGTACTTTTATAAGTTTGGTCTATTTTCATATTGGGGGTTAATCTTCAATTACAGGTAATTCAGGTAATGAAGTAATTTACCCCAAGTTTTCTCCACCCCCAACTCTCTTTTATTTTACATTTTTCAGGGCCTGAGACAGAAAGGTGTCCTTGATTCCCAGGCCTAGAGAGGGTTTGTTTTGTCTGACCAAAATGGGAAAGCTGCACCTAACACTCTATATGGAGTTTAGATTTATACACTAAATAATTGCAGGATTATAAATATATGAAAAATATAAAAGATAAAATCCTAAAGCATCAAGGGACTCTCCTGTAGCAGCACTGACACCAATGCCAGTGTATCAGCAAACAAGCCGTGCTGGCAGGGTTACACATACCTGAGGACAAACAAGCAAATTCATGGAGCTGGCCAGGATCACCTGTGGAGTCTCTTGCAGCAGTTTGGCTGCAAGGAATCAGCACTGGACATAGTGAATATGTGGGCTCATCCAAGCAGCATACATTTCTGCAGAGAAATCCCAAAGCAACTTCTTCTCTGTGTTACAGAACCCCAAGAACTGCCCCTCCCCAAATGCCGTGGTAAGAACATCATCAGCTTTTTTCATTACTCATCAGAAAATCCAGTGAACAGTAAAATGAGGTACTAAAAAAACAGGTATGTGTGCTAATGATGTATGCTGTTGTTGACAGTGTATAGTTTACTGAGAGAAAAGGTTGGAAAGAAGAGAAGAACAAGAAAAAATCATTCTGAAGTCTGAAAAATGAGCAGTACGTGGCCACCCTATGAAACAGTCTGGGGTGGATCATTCTGTTAAATTCTCTGACCTTCTGAGGTCTTTATAAGGCTGGAGTGGCAGCACTGCTGATCCTGAGAGAAAGTGGGGATCACTCTGGCAGCCAGGGATGCAGAGGAACATCTGGAGCTGTACCCCTGCTTAGCCCCTTCCCTTGAGTGTCAGAAGGAAATGTGTAGAACTCAGGACTTG